GGAATAAAAAGAGAGCCCCACATAAAAATATTCTAAAAGGGAAATCTCGGCCAAAGTGACATCCCTGTACACCCCCCCCCCCCATTGTCCCTTACGAGTAATATAATCACAAGTCTAGCTTTAAATATTTTTGTTACTTCGGAAAATGCCCCAGTCTCGGCACTGTTTGGATAATGTGGTGTCCGATTTCTTTCGGAGCAACCCTTCCTTGCAAAAGCAAGCACACTACCGGTTTGCAATTCCAGAAGGGCAGGCAGAGAAAAGGGGAAAAAACGGGGTGAGGTGGGGGCGCAGAAGAGGTCTGAGAGCTGGGGAGAGAAGCGGGGCCGAGCTACTGTAGGCGCTGTCCATGGTGACTGACGTCGCCTCGTCCCCCCCCCCCCCCCCCCCCCCCCCCCCGGGGAGTCTCCAGCGAGATGCGGCGATTGGCTCGTGCCGCTTGCGCCTGCCTCTCGCAGCAGAAGCGGCGCGTCTGGGGTCGTAACCAGGCGCCTCTTGTCTCTACAAGAAGAAACACAAGAGGGTAGGAAAGGACGCGTGCTGGGAATCCGCATGAGATCTAGTGCTCTTTACCACATTCAGGGAAGCCGTCTGGGGCGGGAAAAAGAAAAGGGAAAGGCGCGCGCGCGCGGCGGGGGGGGTCTCTCTATCTTGGAAAAGGATAGAGGCTAAGAAGGGTTGGTAAGCGGCCTGCCATTGTACTTTAAATAGCAGTATCTAAAATATATTATGAAAATGCCACACACAAATCTGCCCTGTTCATTTCCTCCCTCCCTCCCTCCCTTCTAGATTGGATATGCAAACTGATTTGCATAGGCAACTGAGAAAACTGATTTTCTTTCTTCAGGGGTCTCCCATGTCCCCTTTCCTCTGAACCCTATTTGCCTCTTCCTGCCTCTCTTTGCACAAATGGCAATTATTTGTCAGTGTCCCCCCTGATAAGTTTCAAGAGATTTCTTGGAATCTGATTTCTGACCATCTTTCTTTCTTCACAGTTCTCTTGTCAGTTTCAGCATTCAGGTGGGATCCTTGATTCATCCTTTTTTGAGCTGCTTCTCCGGGTTCTTAAAGTTGGAATATTTTTTTTCTCCACAATACTTTCCTAGGGATGCTCTTGATCTGCTTGACCTTGTCACTTACTCAGCATATTTCTAAGGAAATCATGGACAAATTTTTAATACAGCCTTAAGAAGACTTCTAGTATGGATCACATTGGATGATTGCAATCTACTATCCTACTCCATCTACAACTGTAACAGGTCCAGATGTGGCAATGACCCTAGGAATGTTATTATTTCTCTCCATGTCCTTTTAAAACGATATTTCCTGAGTAATAGCCTCCAAGAGCAGAGAGGAAGATCTTCTAAATCACAAAGGGGTGATTTTTTTTTTTTTAAGGCTAGAGTCAATATTTAATTTGGACAGGGAAGGCAAGTGGCCATATTATCTGGGCCAATTATATGAATAACATGAAGCCATGATGTAGAATTGATGCAAAATCACAGGGAAGATTTTTCTTTATTTGGGGGCAGGGGAGGGGAGATCGAATTTGGGGGATATTACCTTTTTTTTAAAAAAAAAAGGTGGTAGTCTATTTTAGGGCTTAGGCAATCAGGTTATCTACCTAAAAATCATTGGGAAACTCATCATCCCTTTTTTGAAATTTCCCCACTAAAATTTTGTGGCCCTATGGCTACTTGCTGTAAAACAAACAAACAGAATAAAACTCACCATCAAAAAACAAAAGGTTTGCGGGACAACCTTTATTTATAGCATTTTATACTTTAGCCTTTTCGTTTAAGGAAGGTAGACTTAAATCCATTTCTTTCCAGGGGATTAAGATGCTTCCCTCTTGCTCAAGAACACAGATGATTTCCTGTTATGTCTCACCTGTGCCAACGAAGTGAGAAGTCCAAGTTTCCAAAGGAATATACACAAGCAGACAAGACCAGTAATGACAGGGTTAAATTCCTTTGGCCAGGCAAGTTCTTGGCAGTCTCACACAAGCTGTCTGCCAAGTCCGATAATAAAGCAAGAACATAAATCACAGGCTATCGCCACACACACAGAATCCGTTGGAGCTGCTCTCACAAATTAACACGTTGTCCCGAACAAATTCTCAGAGCGAACACACCCACTTTTATTCTCTGTGGGGTGTGTCAGTCCCTCATCTCAGTCTCCAATTCGTCCTTTCCTGTTACGTTGCAACTTACACTTTTGCCTGCGCCGTTGCCTCGCATCAAGCCAGCATTCCTCGGCTTGATCCTCAGTCAGAGGCTCTGATACGTTCTCCTGATTATCTGCCAACACCTGAGGCACAATCAGGGGGGAAGGTCCTGTCAAGGAGGAAAGTCCTGGGGAGGAAGGCAATTCCAAATCCTCTAACAAAGCAGGCTCAAACCTCAGAGCCAAATCCTCCTCTTCCTCATTGTCCAAGTCTGTGTCCTCTAGCAAAGCAGGCTCAAACCTCAGAGCCAAATCCTCCTCTTCCTCATTATCCAAGTCTGTGTCCTCTGACAAAGCAGGCTCAAACCTCCGAGCCACAACAATTTCCCATGCTCCTTCCTGCTAGATATGATGACCTCAAAGAAGAAATCTTAAGCAGACAGGTAACAATTTTAGTTTTAAAGACTATGCAGTTGAAGATGATTTGGTTCCCAAGCAAGTCAGACTGGGCCTCATAGAGAACACAGATTTTAAAAAAGCAACCATTCTGGAAAAAAAACAACACACAAATCATACAAGAAATTGCATTGTGCAGCACTGAGACACAAATGGAGTGCAAAATGAGTGCTTCTTTGCTACTTTATTCATTTTAGAGTAGATTGTAATAAGCTCTTTTATTTGGGTCTGCCCTACAGCCAGAATTTGTCTGCTTTACTTCTTCCTTCTCTGACAAAAATATTGCTGGTCTCTTCCTACTCTTTGGCCTCATATTTTTCTTCCTTTTCTGTTTCTCCCCCTCTGATGTATACTTCTCCTTTTTCTTTTGGATTTTAAATGACTTTGCTTTACTACTGTTGATTTCACTGACCCTTGTTCTTGCCTTACTTTGTTGCTTTGGCAGATATCCATGAAATCCGAAGGTAATGACATTCGAAGTACAGGATAATGGTCATTCCATTCCTGACAGTTGCCCTTTAGAAAAGAGTTGCTGCCGATAACCCAGAACATCAGCTAAGGAAATCATATAGAGTGAAAAGAACCCCTTCGTCACTTCAAACTTCCAAAGATGGAGCTGAACTTTAAAAAGCCTTGATAGCTTTTTTAGTTTAGTCTGCCTCTGAAGCTTCCTTGCTAAAGCTCAAATTCTTTAATGTGACTGGGAAAATATGGGGAGGGGGGAAGGGAGGAGAGGGGGACGTGAAATCCTCCTCTCTGTTTTTACATTATTATCTTTTTTTGGTTACCAGCAAGTGTCTTTTGCTTGGAGTTGTCATATATGGCTTGTATGGATTGTAGAAGGGTCTTGTAGCATAAAATGGCACATTACTTTGGAAAATACATGGAAGAATAACTCCTATGTGTGAATGATGTTACTTGTCCAGTTTTTTTTCAGAATATAAATAGATATCATTGGGTTAGAGCAGGATCTGTTTGTGAATAACCACTATCAAGGTTAAACCTGAGAGCATGAAGGGAGGGGGAGCAGTGTTCAGAGATCCAATTGCTCAACATGATTGTTGAAATAGAAAAAGCAATAGCTACTTTTTTAAGGAGAGAAATCTGGGCTTCACTGTGGCTACTTTTGCCCAAATATGCTTAATCTAACTTTCCATTTTTCTGACTGTGCAGATACATTGAATCATTAGTTAATTGAGGTGGTTGGATTCAAACAACATGCCCCTGAAAAGGCAATTCAACATTAGCACCAACTACATGTGTTGATGTCCAAATGCAGCTGCTAAATCTTCAATTGAGCAGTTTAGGAGCACTATGCAACAGCAGTCTGTATGAGATGATTTCAAACGTTGCATGATACACATAACCCCATTTATATTGCCAGGTCTGGTTAACTATAAAGAATTAGACGGTCAAACAAAAAACATATAGGATTCAAATAATGAAGCTAATGATGAAAATAATGATGAACAATGAAGCTACATGAAGCTAATGGACACTTCTTCAGATAGAGTTTTTACATCTTGGCTCAGACAATTGTAATGAAAATTAAATGTAACGGTGCTTTTTTCTAAAAGGCAACTGCACTTTCTTGATTTCCCTTTTGAAAACATTTTGCTTCTCACCCAAGAAGCTTCTTCACTTCTGAAGCTTCTTGGATGAGAAACGAAACGTTTTCAAAGAAAAAACTAAAAAAATCCAGTTGTTTTTTAGAACAACCATGACCTGTAAAACCGAGAATCTCCATAGATAATTAAAAAAGATATTTTTATTTAATAATTCATAAAATGGTTAATGGGATTACAGTTTCATATGTGTATGAGAGGAAACTATATTACAGTTCTATACTTGGGCCCTCAAAATTGTTCAGCAAATAATTTGGTTACTAAATAAATATATTTGCTATTAATTATTGCTATTGTAAAGATAAGATAAAAGCACTATATAAATAAAGTACACATGAAAATACATTTCAATTTAAAAGTGCCCTCTTGCTGAAGAACTGCCCATTTCAACAGCTAGAATTACCCAGCAATTTTTAGCATTCATGATAGATCATCTAATCAGAGCCTTTTCTTCCGACGATAAAGGCATACTGGTTTACCAAGGATTGTTTCTAATTTGGCATCTATACACATAGCTGGAAATATGCAAAATTTATGCAAAACTGTCTGTTCTTTTTCAGTGCTGTTTTAATCTTTTAGTTTTAGACAATTGATCCGTGAGGCGAAGTGGCGCCCTCTGTCGTCTGTTTAAGGTCAGAGCACACCTTTCAAAATGACCCATTTGCTGAGTGGGGAAGATGAGAGTAGTGGGCGCATGCGCATAAAGTGGGAGGGGGAAAATCGTTAAGCACATGCGTGAACAGAAGGTGGCAGAAGTATGAAAAGGTTCAACGGACATAATTCGGCGAAAAACTGAAAATCGATGTAGATTTTGCTCTTTTTCAAGATTAAGACAGTTATAATATCTACTGACGATCAACTACACCCTCATATCAGAAACTACCATGAGAAAATCCACTCTAGTTTTAATAAGAGCGTCGAAAAAAATTGCAGCAGTGCGCACCTCTTAACTTTCCTACTTCTTGGAAACTCGGGAAAACCTGCAAGACAGTGGCGGATTGCGCATGCGGAATAGAACTTTTGAACGCGTCCATTTTGGGGGGCCACGTGATGCAGGCGACCAATCAGCCCTCTGCGGATCTTGGCGGCGACCAATAGGAGTGGCGTATTCCTAATAGGTTTAAGGGCGCCAGGATTGGATTCGCCTGGGTCGGCGGCGTTGGGTAAGGAGTGAAGGAGTTGCGCTCGAGTGGCGAGGGTGGGCAGTTGCACGGTATGGATTCTCACGTACACGCGTTCGAAGTCCGGGAGAGGGAAACCGTCTCTCGGAGCTTGTATTAATTGCCCAAAATTCAGTTTTAGCGCTGTATTGGAAGTGCATGTCAATAAGGAGCTGGTTTGCCTGCTGGACACCATTTCCTGTGCTATTGTAGGCTTTGCTTTGTATACAAGAAGCCCCTTTTTAACTTGGTTTGTTTGTTTGGTTCATATATCCCATTTCTTCTTCAGAAGTAGCAGTCCTGCTGCCCTTTAGCAGAGGTAGTCCTCTACTTACAAACACAACTGAGCCCAGAATTTCTGTTCCTAAGCAGGACAGTTGTTAAACTAATCGCTGCAGTTGTTCAGTTAGTGACATGGTGGCTACATTAACTCTGCTTGTCGAAAGGTTACAAAAGATGATCACGTGACCTGGGACACTGCAACTGTCATAAATGCATACTTCAGATGCCAAGCGTCCAAATTTTGATCACCTGACTAAAGGGATGCTGTAATGGTCGATAAGTAAAAAAAAATGGTCATGCCACTTTTTCCAGTGCTGTTGTAACTTCAAACAGCCACTAAACGAATGGTTGTGAGTCAAGGGCTACCTATATATCCCATCTTTTGTTCCAAAGAGGAAAAGGTGGTGTACATAGCATCCTGTTCATTTATTGACCACAGCAATCTTTTAAAGTAGGTAGGTAGAGAGAATGGTAGGCCAAAGTCACCCAGTGAGTTTCCATCAGTGAAGATGGAGGACATGGAAAAGCTATTTAGCACCTTAGCCATTATACTATCCTAAAATTACAGTGAGCATATTTTCTTGGAAAACATAAAATACAGACCTGGAAAAGGGACAAACCAGAGAGAGGATCATATAACTTTGTTCTACAAATGAAAAATCAAGAGCAAAACCAAGATAACAAATAATTAACTTAAGTAACTCTAATGGACAACTTTCTGAAATAAAGGATTGCCTTTTGTAATAAAGGGCTTATACTGGGCTTCAGGTATAAACTTGGTAGGTATTCACTTTTCCTTCCTAAGGAACCTTGCCTTACTAAGATTCCCTCAAACATCAGGATTTTTCCCTTAGTTTGGCTCTTGCAATGGCTGCTGTCAGTGAACGAATTGAATATATGGAAAAAGTGAGAAGGGAAGTGCTCAAACTGCTGACAGAAGGCAAGACAGCGGACATACTGAAGCAGAATCTGTCCCAACAGGATCAAATGATTGACAAACTCTTGAATACCCAGAAGACCGCAAAACAGCTGATCAAAGGTACTTTTTGGCTTTTCCTGACTTAATGCTGCAGTCAAGACTTTGTTAGTACTTTTGTCACTTAAAGAGGAAAATTTAAACTTAACCACTGATAATCTGATCAGGGCTTGCTTAACCGTGTAAATTGTGTGGCATTTTTAAAAAGTAGGAAATGGTTTAGTATGAAGCAGTTATTTTTTTAAAAATGGAAGTTAAGTTAGAATCATTGAAATAGACTGACAAAACAGTAAAGATTTAAGTCCAATGTCACCGTAAAGCTGTGTAATATTAGGTGGCATTTAAATAAAATAAAATATATGAATGTAATTAGAATCAGAGCTCAATTTTCTAGGTTCTATGCTCATTTTAAATTATTCTAACAGTAATAATCAGTGCAACCAATGACGACAAGCCACTGGTTTTATACAAATATACAACACACACAAAGAGATTTAATTTTTTTTGTTTTGAAATATATTGTGATTTGCAACATTTGTTATAATAAAGATCAAATTAATCAGAGTAGAGCTGGATGGGAACTTGGAGGTCTTCTAGTCCAGCCTCCCTGCTGAAGCAGGAGACCCTATACCATTTCAGACAAGAGACTGTCCAGTCTCTTCTTAAAAACCTCCAGTGATGACCAGAGATAAAATTAAATTTTATACTATTTTGGAAAACAGTGCTTCAAAGTATTGTATGCTGAAAATAGAACAGTCTTACTTTGATATAAGTCACATATATAATTAAAATATAATATATTTGAATTATACATTTCTAGGTTAAAAAGATTTACCTCTTGTTTTTTTTAAATAAA